TCTAATTGAAAATCTTATGCAAAAATTCAGCATAAGACTGAGGGAAAGCTGAAGCACACCTTCCAGCTGCACCTGTGCCTGCTGTCAACAGTCCTGTAGCCAAGCACGTACCCCATTAGTTTGGTGTAGGTAACCCTCCATGTGGGTGATGACGGCAATGGAGATACCACCAAATGGCACAGACTGGCAGAAGTCTTCTCTTAGACCCATAAAGCCTCTGTTGGGAGATTCTCTCTGGAGCAGTCAGAAGGTTGGTGAGCATGTGCAGACCACTACTGCCTCCCCTCTTTACTCCTGGGTGTAGCCTGCTTCTGTATTCATAGCTTCCCCTAAGCTGTACTTGGGGCAGCTGGTTAGAGACAGACTCTGGTTACCATACTTGGCTGCTTGCAAAAAAAACTCATCACTTCAGTATTAGGTGGGAGCTCTGTGTGTTGGGCAAAATGGGCTTGGTGTGGTGACTTACACAAGGATGTTTATTACGTTTTTATAAGGGTTGAAGAAGATGTTAGCCAAGTGTGGTTGTACAGGCCTGCAACCTCACACTAGGGAGGCTGATGCAAGAAAACCAGAACAATTGAGGAAAACATTGTTTTGTTGCAGAAGAAAATAAGACCATTCAAATCATATTTAATGGTGTGGCATGCACCTGTAATCTCAGCATTTGGGATGTGGAGGTGCGCACATGGGTTCAAACAAAAATGAAAACAAAGTAAAGAAAAAAAATGTGTTGAAAAATTTGGGGGTCCTGAAAAAAAATAATATATGGAAAAAGAGACAGATTGTCTGTATTTTATGCCCCAGCTTCATAAAATAATGATTGTCATTGGTAACAGCACTGGGTGTATGCATAAATAAAAATGTTACAGGGTATTAAGTGTTGTATACTCAGGTGGAAATTCCATCTATTTTAATTTTCTTCCCGGTCGTTCTCCCAGTTTATTGCTGCGATCACAAAAACCTTGATTTTCAGTAAAGCTTTTCCAAGATGGGGCATTCACTTCTGCACTTGGTAGGATTCCAACCCGAGTAGAACATCAGCCTCCTAAGTTGTCTCTAAAATTGCTCCAAATGAGATGAGGGGTCAGGAGAGTGGCTCACTGAAGTGCTTGTGCAGGAGGACCTGAGTTCAGTATCTGGCACCCATGGAAAAGCTGGGCCGGTGGTCCCAGCCCTGCCGAGGAAGCCAGCCAGCTTAGCTACATGGTGGGCTCTTCATCAAGGGTGAGATCTTGTATAAGACCATTAGGAGCAAGGAGATTAAAGAAGATGGCTGACACTGACATCTGGCCTTCATATTCAATTCATGTGCACACAAAATACATAACATATTCTAAAACTAAGATTTAGATTCCTAAAACATTTAAACTCTGGTTAGGATCATTTGAATGAATGCCAAGACTAGACAGTAAGAATGGAGTCCAGTGAATTAGTTTCCAGGATTTTAGAGTCAACTTGACACTCTGGTGAAACACATTTGAGATTCTGTAGGTTGGCTAGGGACTGAGGCTCTTCAATTCTTTTTTTTTTTTTTATATTTATTTACTTTATATATCTACACATAGAGCCTACATGTCAGAAGAGGAGAGTATCAGACCTCATTATAGACGGTTGTGAGCCACCATGTAGTTGCTGGGAATTGAATTCAGGACCTCTGGAAGGATAGCCAGTGTTCTTAACCAATGAGCCATTGCCATTTCTCCAGCCCAAGGCTCTGCAATTCTGACAAGCTCTCTGAGGTTTAAGATGCTGTGACTCATGGAACACACTTGAGTGACAGTGAAGACTCCCTGGAAGCAAGATAGGTGGGGCTAGGAGAGAAGGAGGATTCTGGGAAATGTAATAGGGAATCACCATGCCATCCCAGGAGGAGAGGGAGAACGCATGAGTTTAGCGTTCTTGGTAAGATAAGACCTTGAGAAAAAAATATATATAGTTATGGATTAATACTTAAGATAGAGTTAGCCAATAGAAGCCCTGGGCCTTGGCCAACAGTATTGTAACTAATAGAGACTCTGTATGTTATTTTGGGGGCTGAAGTGGCAACAGGACTCAGGCAGGAATCCTGCAACACTTTATAAAATGTGTGTATTTTTGATGAACTTTTTTTTATTTTTTAGGATTTCATGTTTTCCAGGTTAGCCTGGAACTTACTACACAGCTGAAGATATCCTTAAATTCCTGGTTCTCCTGGCTCTATTTCCTGAGTGCTGTGACTTCAGGCATGCACCAACACCTAGTTTATGTGGTCCCAGGGTGAAACTCAGGGCTCTGCGTGTGCTAGTTAAGTACTCTGCCAATGGGGCTGCCTCCCAGCTCAACTGGTGTGTGCTGTCCAGGACGCTCTTAAGCATTGTGCGGCATCCTTCTTGATGGGGCTGTGTCAGTGATCAAAAGAACAAGCCACAGTTCTTTCTTCTCCCTTTTCACACAATCTCTGCTCTCTGTATGTGTGCTCAGTAATAAGAGAAGCCAGGGCCCCTGTAGGTCCCAGGAAATGCTCTGTCAAATCTAAAAGTAGACAAGAGCCCATTGTCTCATTGCAAAAGCAAATCCTATATACTAACCCAGCAAAAAGCCAACCAGCTTTTAACGAGATTCCTTAGGTTTTTTTTTTTTTTTTTTTTTTTTTTTTTTATCCTAGTGCATGGCATTTTTCAACTTAAAGTGAATTAAGCAAGAACCAAAAGAGCTTTTTTCTTTCTTTCTTTTTTTTTTTTTTTTTTTGAAGGGTCCATAAATCTTGTGATGTGAGCTCATGGACTTTAAGCAGCCTCAAGAACTTTGAAGAATGAAATATTTAGCAAGGAGACAAGTGACTGCTGTTATGGAAACGGATATTACCCACCCAGCAGTGGTGTGTTCTAAGTGCTTGACATTCCAATCTTAAAACCCAAGAAGTGGGTCTGTGAGGTGGCTCCACAGGTGGAGACGCATTGCAGGCCTGGAGACCCAGGCTGGATGGATTCTCGTGACCCAGGTAAAGGTGAAGGAAAACATGGACATAGCAGAGCTATGCTGTGACCATGCGTGCCCTCACACGCACCTGCCCCATGCACACGCACTCACACACGCAATAATGATAAGTAATATTAAAAGTGAACAAATAAAAACCAACAACTGTTGCCAGAGGCTGGATGGGACTGGGGGGATGACTGCTGATACCCTAGGTTTCCAGGGTGGGATGTTCTGAAGTTAAAAAAATGGCCATAATTGCATAGCCTAGCATACTAGATAATCTTACAGTTTAAAATGGAACCACAACAAGCCCCACCTCAGGGGCATCCTCCGGGTTAACCTGTTCTACAGTGTGCACGCTGTCGGTATGGCTGACTTCTGTGACAACAGGAGGAAAATCATGACCAAAGTAAAATTGCAAGACCCATTAAAAGCATAGCCAGGAGTCCTTTACAGAACAGGGCTAATGTACAATGCCAGCTGCTAACTGGAATATGAACTTTGGTCAACTCTGACCTTTGACTTCAAGGGTCTGGATTCATTCAAGACCGCCTCCAGGCCCATAGTCACTATGTATGGCTCCATTTGTGACACTTCCTTTCTCTTCATGCCTCTCTCTCTCTCTCTCTCTCTCTCTCTCTCTCTCTCTCTTTTCTCTTTCTCCTTTTCTTCTGGTTTTTTGAGACTGGGTTTCTCTGTGTAGCTTTGGAACCTATCCTGGCACTCGCTCTGGAGACCAGGCTGGCCTCGAACTCACAGAGATCCGTCTGCCTCTGCCTCCCGAGTGCTGGGATTAAAGGTGTGCGCCACCAACGCCCGGCATGCCTCTCTTTCTTACCCCTCATGGTGCCCATTCCCTTTTAAGTTTCAGTAGTCAATACTGACGTCCACTTCTGCCTCCCAAACTGCCACTCCTATAATTTCAGAGTTTGAATTGATTGGAATTTCTATTCCTTGGTACTTATTGTCGTAATAGAGTCTAGACACTTCCTATAATTTCAGAGTTTGAATTGATTGGAATTTCTATTCCTTGGTACTAACTGTCGTAATGGAGTCTAGACACGCAGAGATATGAAGCACTTGCTGTATGTTAGCTTGTGGGATATGCTTTGGGGTTTTTGCTTCTTGAAGTGATTATGATCAGCGAAAACATCCAAGAGTAGGACCCGGGAGTTTATTTAATTTTTACTAATTCAGATATTTGGCAACATGTTTAGCATATTTTTAAAAAGATCTATTTTTATTCACATGTGTGTATGCAGGGACTGGAGAAATGGCTTCGTGGTTAAGAGTAGGCACTGCTCTTGCAGGTGACTGGAATTTGGTTCCCAGTACAGGGTGGGCACCTCACAACCGTTTATAACTCTAGACCTTCTGTTGGCTTCCACAGGCACCCCCCCACACACACACAAGGCATACACACATACTCAGAGATATATACATATATACATGTAAATAAAATTAATCTTTTTTAAAGATCCTGAAAGCAAACCAGCTCATCATTGCAGACACTGCATCTCAGTCGCTAATGAGCCTGTGGTCTAGCCCTAGCCTCTTATTTTTATTTCCTCAGCATCCCTCTTCCCCCGCTACGTGCCTTTCCTTATGGTGCTATTTTGAGACAACATGCCTTCCTTGCTGTGAAGATTGCCTGCACAGAAACAGTGTGCCCTTCATGCAGAGTAGCTCCCATAAGAATATGAAAATAGCAATGAACTGTGCTTGCTCTAAGTGTGACCTTCAAGTGTGGCCTTAGTCTGCTCTCAGCTGAAAACCTGCACTTTCCTGGGCATCTTATAAACAAGACGAAATTATTTGGTTACAGTAAAAGCATGTCTTTACTCTCTCATGACCTATGGGTGCACCCTTTGATCTCATTTGCCACCCCACCCCAATTTCCTCAGCACCCCAAGAGAGATCTAACTTGAGAAGCCACTAGAAATCATGTACGGGGCCACTGTAAAGACAAACTTGGCTCCTTCTTGAGAAGTGCACATACATACCTGGGTTCTTCTCTTAAAAACATTTACACTTAGTTTGTGTGTGTGTGTTTGCCTGCGCAGGTGCACACTGGAGCTCAGGTTTGATGCATATGAGTTCAGGCATGCTCGTGCCAGGACAAGCATGTGGCAACCAGAGGACCAGTGGAGTCAGTTTTCTCCTCCGGCCATGTGGGCCCTGGAACTGAACCCAGGTGGTTTGTCTTGACAGCAAGTGCCTTTACTTGCTAGGCCATCATACCGGCTTCTCTTCCTCTTTCCTTTCCTCCTCTTCTTCCTTTTCCTCTTCCTCCTTCTCTTTCTCTCGCTCCCCTTTTTGAGACATGCTCACTCTCTCATGGAGCCCAGGCTGACCTGAGGCTTGCTGTGCAGTGGGGGATGACCTTGAGTGCTTGCTTCCCCCACCTCTTTCTCCCTAGCCCTGGGGCTGTGAGGCAGTTTCCACTATGCCCACGGTTAAGTTTTGCAATGCTGTGAAGGGCCAGTCAAGTTCCTAGTCTCTTTGTGGACTGTGACTCTTGCATTAAAAGAGCTTCGATTCAGAAATTGTTATTTTTTTAAGGCTAAACTTAACAGGGATGAAGTTATAAAATCCTAGTCTTTATAAACATACGAGTTAATAGTCACCTCATAAAGGATCAAATTCTATGATATGCTCAGATTTAGCTGTTCACATGTTTTCAAAATTAAGCCCAAAACAAGTAATTAGAAACAAGCAATATTTGCCTAGTTTGTTTAGATATACTTAACAGATAATGCTCCTCAAACACTTCAGAGATCTGGGAATATGGCATTTAATATGTTTAGTAAAAAAGCTTTTTATGATAGAGACATGTCAACTCCAGGCAGGATTCCGTCTCCTCCAAAGATGGATGGGTGCAGAAGAAACTCCACCTGCTGCTTGTTTTAAATGTGACAAAGTTAGCCACAGGGCAGAAAAAAGCTACCTGTTAGTATTCAGCTGTCCCTACTGGCCTGTCCTTGGGGTTCTGACAGGATTCGCCCTCAGCTGCAGCCACTAAGAGCACCACCTGTGCACATTCACTATGTTCTCTTTTAAAGGAACCTGCCCACCTCCCATCCTTCTCTCTCTCTCTCTTTCTCTCCTTCTCCCTGTCTGTTCCTGTCTCCTCTCTCCTCCTCTTTCATCCCTCCTCTCTCCTGCTGCTCCTGTCTCTGGAGGCAGCTTCCCCCTTCCCTTTCCCCTTTTTATGATCCCTCACCCTCCCCGCAAAGGAAAAAAAAAAAAAAAAAAAAAAAAAAAAAAAAAAAAACCATCTTTCTCTCAAACACTGATTTTCTTAAATTACAATGCTCCCTTTCACCCCAACTGCTGCCAAGAACCTGTCCAGACTGTGGACATGCAGGACACTGGGGAGTTGATTACCCAGGTTTGCCTGGACAAGGTAGGCTGGCCCTCTTAAGTTCCTACACCACAGGAAATTCGGTCAGATCTTCTGGGCCTGGCCGCTAAAGACTGATGCCACCCTGGGACCTCTGTCCCCAAGGACCATGGAGGGACCTGGGGTAGCTGTCCAGGTAGCCAATAAGTACCTGTCATTTTTAATAGGTTCCAAAGCTGCCTGATCCGCATTCCTGCTTACTCAGGTGAAATTTATCCTTCTCAGATCTGATGGTATATGACAGCTAGGCTAGTGATAACTCCTCTAGTTTAAGGGCTTCTTCCCCCCAAGGCTACAACCACCTTGTAGTTAGTTCATTAGTTAAGTTTCTTGTTAAAACTACAAACATGTTTGCCTTGTTCTCAGGCTTCGTAATAAAGGACTGACAGGTTTTAGCTGTAACTTTCCACTAAAGAAACACAGAAAATGATTTAAGGTGTGTGAATGCAACTTGTAAAGGTGTAAGTAAATAATTTAAGGTGTATAAAGACATTTCTTACTCCTGTGTTCTTTGTATGCTATTGTTACATCGGGGCTTCAGGGGTTCAGAGTTTTAGCACTGATAAATGAAGATCGTAATAAAGCAATAGAACACTGACCATGTACTGTTCAGTCACAAGCTCAAGATTTTAAGTTTCCTTTGGTTGTTCTCTAAGAATAGACATAAATGTGCCTTTCATAGGACTGAAATCAGGCTCTCTAGACATAGGAAAAATGTTCATGCCTTTTAACTCAAAGCCACAGACTTTGCTATGACACCAAGGTGTAAATCTGTTCCAGCTGTTTTACAGACACCTGGGAATGAGTGCTGTTACTGTATCAGTGAGTCTGGCCTGGCGGAAACTAATATCAAGTCGCTCTGCAAATTGTCTGAAGACTTCACCAATATGACCAGGGCATCTCTCGGTTCCATCTTCCTGGCAATCTTCACTGTTCCCAAGGCTAGCCCCACTCATAGAGCTTGTGGTAATCTATTTTTTTCTCTTAGCACCTTGCCTTCTCTGCTTTCTCCAGGAACAGATTCCTGAGGTCTTTAGCATGGTTGACTGAATGCTTCTTCACCCATACCTCCCTCTGAGCATGAGCCCACAGACCCCTGACTTCCTCTTCCCTAGGGTCCTGTGCCAACAGGAAATAGCCAGATTTGAAACAGCATACCCAAAAAGATGAGGATGTTCTGTTGGAACCTCCAGCCCCCCCCCCCCCCCCCCCCCCACACCAGGAAGCCCCCTGGCCCCATTCTTATCTTTCTCTCCAAACCCTGCCCAGAGTCTCCAAACAAAGGGAAGACACCAAAGTGCCCAGTCCCATTCTTGCTGCTACAGCAACTTCCTCCCCTGAAATAATCAGCCACCCAAGACCCCACTTAAAGCACTCAGGTTTTGACCATAGTTGGGCACAAACTCAGCTCATGGTGGACACATCATCACACCCCTTGCCTATATATTATATAATCTCCCTGCTTTAGCTCTAGCTTGTGGCTCCCATGACCACCATGTCTGTCACCAGAGAAATCACCTGGGAGTTGCTTTGCTTAAATAAACCTGTTGTTGTACTTTTTCAATTTGGCTTGATTTGGTTTACTGCACCAGCAGAGAACCTATTATCGGGGGCAGAAAACCTATTACTCACAACAACTTTCTTATTATTAATACTTACTCTTAAATCTACAATAAAATCGTGTGTGTGTGTGTGTGTGTGTGTGTGTGTGTGTGTGTGTGTGTGTGTGTGTGTGTGTATATAAAACACCA